TGTCATAGAACATTTTTTCTCAGTGTGACAGCAGAGCGAGCAGATAGTGAGCACCGTATAATTGTAAATACAGTTAATATGAACGTCGCTTGGCGGCAAAGGCAGCAAACGCTTTGCTTGGCACTTTTAATTTACGAAATGGTGTTGATTTAACGGCAAAGGCGGCACTGGCTCAACATAAACGGAGCGGAGCGGGAAAAACGGAGCAAAATAAAGGCGGGGGAAAGCGGGGAAAGCAGCATCAGTGGCAGCCCAACACAAAAGAAAATTGAAAATACAAAAAAAAAAAAAAATAAAGGAAAAGCATATTTTATTCCGGGCAATTGTGGCCGTCATTTCACTGGAGCCCTAAAAGTGCACATGTGTGTGTGATTGAATGCACTGGGAAAAAATAAGTTCGAGTTATTGCGGACATATCTAAATGTAGGTAGGTTGGTAAAATAGAGCATCTGGAAAATCAAATCTTATTTGCCAAAATATCTGCATATTAAAAATCACTTGAAATCACTTGATTTAAAGTTTTATTAAACTATATATAAACTTCAAGAAAGTGCAGTTTAAATATAAAAAAAAAAAAACAAAAAATAACATTTGTTTGGCCCTATAAATATACCATAAATATTAAAATATTTTTCTCTGTATGTTAGAATCCTTGCTTTTTGGACAACGATTTTCTCTGATTAATAAACAGACAGAGAGAGAGAAAAGCAGAGGGAGGGAAAGAGATAGCGAGTACGAGTGCGCTAGCGATAATCAAAAGGGTGTGCAATTTTAATTGAGCAATTTAATTACATATGTAAGCAAAAGTCTCAGTCGGTAGAGACAGAGATAGAGAGAGAGAGAGTGAAAGAGAGCGAGTTGTAGATAAAGAAGCCGCACATACAATTACCAACAGATGATTTCTCTTTCTCTCACCCTGAATTTGTGTGCGTGTGTGAGTGTGTGTGTTGGCTTTTTGTTGGATTATTTTTGGGAGGCCTTTTCGGTTTTTTGTCAGTTTCAGTTTAAGTTGAAGTTAAAGTTTAAGTTGATAATTAGTTTGTCAGCGCCCAAAAGCAAGCAACAGTTTCTTGTTGTACCCATTTGCTTGCTTTTCGACTCTCTCTCTCTCTCTCTCTCTCTCTCTGAGTTTTAATTGAGTTAAAAAGGTTGCCAAAAACAATTATATTGCTAATTGTGGCATTTAAAATTTATTTGATTTTTAAAACAATTTCTTTTTTCCTTTTCAAAGTTAAAAAAATACTCATAAGTTAAAGGAAAAGTAAAGAAAAGGCAAAACTTATATATCAAGGATCTAAAAAGCTATAATATATATGATTTGGTTTATTTTCATAAGAACATATTGACAGTTATGAATTTTAATATATATAGATAGCTTTACTTTTCCTTTTCCATAAAAGCGAATAAGCTCCTCTTACGCAAAAAAAAAAACAGACAGTATAGCAAAACTTAGATATGGCGCGTTAATATTTCCCCTCAACTCATTTAATCTCTTTGGGGGATATATCAACAATCAGAGCAGAGACAATTAGACCCCATTATCCCATTTGCCCGCTCTATTTCCCTATTGCACCTGTGCTTCCTTTATGCATTACATGCGGGGCAATTAGAAAGACGCGTTTACCGCTACACTACAAGAAAATATCCTAATCCGAATTTAAAAACAATGCGTTCTTAAAACCTTTTTGATAGTATTAACAATTTTGATCTTAAACGGAATACACTTCTTTATTATTCCATAACTTAAGTACCAATTTAAATAATTTTAATGCTGGAAAATAAGTAACCGTATACAAGGAAGTAGGTTCAACAAATTCTTATTCTTGATTTAAGTACGTGTTTTTAAAGCATATATTAAGAAATGAAACAAATGAGTAATGGATTAGTCAAACATCCCAAATTCAAAACGATCAATTTGAAAGATAATGGAGTTTGAAAATCAAAAAGTTAATTATCAATATAACTTATCGCCATTTATTTTCAAGCTAGAAGTTAGATAAAAGTTAGCTGATCTCTGGTTCAAAATAAACTGAAATATAAAATATTTTCCAAAGTGCTTTTCACCGAGGTTGACACATTTTGAGCGGGCCGAAAAACTCTCGACCTGACCAAAACTAATGGCGGCTATACTGAACTGAACTGAACTGAACAGGATGGATATATTTCGGTGGGGTTGGTGGGGGGTATGGGGAATATTGGTATTGGACAGATGGATTGGATTCAAAAGCAGGTTGTTTAATGGGTGGGCGCATATCTCTGGCAGATAAGCTTACGAATTGTGAAATGCGAGTGAGTAATTATGATTTACTAATTAGCAAACACACTCGCAGCGAGAGCCGCAAAACTGACAAACTGCCAGGCAAACAATTTGGCTGCGGATGTGGAAAGCAGGGAAATGCGAATGCGAATGCGGATGCGAATGCGGATGTGGATGCGGATGTGAATGTGGATACGAAAGTGAATTGGCGGCTAATGCGCTGGACAAACAAAAATGAAACACACAGAAGTGGAGCCACAAGCCTGAGACACACACAAACACACACACACACAAACACACCCACACAAAAGTCTATTAATTAGCTGCACCAACAGGAGGCCCCCCCCCCCCCTGCCCCCTCCACTGTCCCCCTCTTTAGCTGTAACGCGTGCAACGAGGATTTGCTCATCAAATTCGCTAATTGTTTTTGCTTTGGCCAGGCAGGCAGGCAGGTAGGCAACACACACCAAAATAACCCCTCTCCCAAAAAAAAAAAAAAAAATCAGATGGGGTGTAGCAACGTGTACGCACGCGAGAATCCAAACAATTAGCGTAATTTCAATTTTGTTGAAAATTTCATAAACGGCGACCAGTCTTTTGCCAAGTGACTTTTGCAGCAACAGCAGCATTGACCCCCCCTCCCCCCCCCTAAAAACCCACCCATCCAGCCCCGCCCCCCCTTTACCGTTACGCCCCTGGGGACATTGGGCAGTTAAGCCGCGCTCTGCCGCGTGTTGCATACTTTTGGCCGCTTTTTGACAGCCAACCCACGAAAAATGGCGCAGTAAAACATCAGAAATTGCATTCTGCAGCAGCAGCGCATTCAGGTGAAACGCGAAATGCAATGCCAAAAATCAACCCCAACCACTTCTTATGCACTTCGTTTACTTTCCATCAGCATAATGCACAAAAGAGCAACAGGGAGAGTGGATCACTTAAAATGCAATGAACAAATTAATAAACAACAACAACAATGGCACCGTGTCACCAGTTTAATTGCCCAAAGAGGATAAAACACACCCAAACACACACCTGAGGTCGAAATAATAGTACTGAAAACTCCTCTAGAAATCAGTTAACCAATTATAATGCTAAAATCTAAGTAAATTTAAAAGGACTTAATTGAAATATTCTTCTCAAACAATATTTTACAATTTTTTTCGATTTCTTCTCTATAAGTAAAAATATTAAAAAAAAAAAAAAAACAAGAACAAGAACAACACAAACAATTGTAAAAACCTAAAAAAAAAACATAAACCTGAAAACTAAGTTGTCCCTTCATTTTTTGTTCAATAAATGCTTTCATATTTTTGATGTTTTAAAGTGGTTTTTGATAGAGCATGCTAAATATAAAAGTAGAACTATTATTTTGTTGGCAACTGTAAACGGCCCACTCTTTCCCTGTGCAATGCTTTCAAATTTAGTTTTTGGCGCTTTTTTTTTTTAGTGTTTTTTGAGTGCTTTGGCTTCTTTGGCTGCCTTCTTTTTTTTCGTGTTTTTAGGTTGTTGTTTCACACACACAAAAAGAATTTTTAACTAACACAAAATGGCTGTTGATTTGTATGAGAATAGAGGGAGGAGGTAAAGGGAAGGCGTGGCAGGTTGGGGGAGTCGGAATATATACTCCCTGGGGTCCTGGCTGGGGATTAGTGCGTTATTCGGTTTCATCGCACCCTTTTGCCCAAAGTTCAATTGCAATCTTGTTGCCGATGTTGCTGTTGTTGCTGCTGTTGCTGTTGTTGCTGCTGTTGTTGTTGTTGTTGTTGTTGGCAAGTAAATATACAACACCACACAAGAGAAAAACGCAGATTGCTCACTCACCTTGCACTCTTTCCCCTCAAGCCTACACAGCGAAAAATGTTTTATAAGTTATTACTTTAACGCAAAAATCAAATTCTTGTCTTCTGGGTGTTTTTATAAATTTATTTATATTTATATTATATTTCTTTCAAGAAGAATATAAATAAGATTTCTTTTTATTTTCCAAAAAAAACCTCTAGAGTTTGTAACCTATTTATTTAAGCTATTGAACATATTTATTAACATAAAAAAGAATATATTACTTTAAGAGTTTAATTTTTAATAAAGATTTCAAAAAATAAATATAAATTTATGAAATGCTTAACATTTTATCATTTTTGTACAATAAAAACATTTAATTTCCTTTCATTTTACCAGGATTGTAAGAAAACTTAAGAGATTGTGTCTCAAAAGTATGCTACGATTTGTTTTGAAAACTCGAAGTAGTAACGCTATAATCGCTTTTCAATATATAATATCCACATACTTTTTTTCGAGTGCATATATCCTGCATATCCTGCCCGTTGGCTGTTGCCTTCGGCTCTTTGCTTCGCCCGTTGTTGTGTCTTTTTTCGTGCTCTTGTTTTTCGGTGTGCGTTTGGTTTATTAATGTTGACCGTCAATTATGTTTTAATTGTCATAAAAGGTTTGTCCCTTTTGACTCGCTCCCCAGAAGCGGGAGGCGCAAAAAAAAAACGAAGAGGATGCTGGTGGGTGGCAGAATATCCTCTGCATACGTATGTGTGTGTGGGTGGGTGGTGTGGAGTAGAGTGGAGTGTATGCAAACAATAAAATCCAACTGGGATAAGCTGCAGCTGAGCGAGAGGAAAGATGGCGAGCGGAACAGAAGTTGCTTGTCAACATGGACAAAGCTGAATGTGTGTGTGGGTGTGGGTGTGTGTGAGTGTGAGTGTGTGTGTGTGTGGGTAAGCCAGTTGACAGGTGAGTGAGTGTGTGTGTGTGTAATGTTGCTGCTTTTGCTGCTGTTGCTGTTGCTGTTGTTGTCCTGTTGATGTTGCCGCTTCGATTTGGTTTTCCGGTTGTCAGGCAATTTGCCAACTTACTGCAAAGATCAGCACAAAGTGTAACCCACACACAAAGAGAGGGCAAAAGTGACACGGCAAGGAAATCTTTGCGCTTCTTTTTCCAACGTTTCATTAATTGAATTGATTTGCATGGCAACTGACTGCAAGTGGCACAATTCCACCATGCAACAATATGCAAATGCAGTGGCTCATCGAAATAATTGATATACAAGTCTATCGCATGTATTTACATTTTACATCGATTAGCCAACATTCAAAACCGATAATTTTGTCTTCCAGATATGACAATCATATTGGAATGATGCATTCAAATAGTTATTTAAACATTATGAAAATGGCCATTTTGTTGATTAACCAATCAGAGGTTTTATTATTATTTTAAATAAGAGCGATTACGATTTGCGTCACTGGTTATTTATTTATTTAAGTTTGCTGCTTACGACAAATTTAACGCTTAAGCATTTTATGCACATACAGCATCGAAAAGTTGAAAGTATTTACAACACCTACACATTTGTAAAACATGGCGATTATAAAAGATTTTAATACAACCCGTTAAACCATACATCAAACAGTTAATAAAAACACTTTTTAATTGAGAGCAAGAGAATATTCAACTGGATTCAAATGAAAAGCGATCAGAAGATCGATAGTCATTGAATAAGAAACGACTTTGATTTCCAGCTACATATGAATAATTGAAAAATTGAAAAACCTCAAAAAAAAAAAGGAGACATCACATATATATGTATAAGGATGCGGATTCAGGACACGGGCTTAATGCAACGTTTAAAATGTGGCAGATTGACGACGCGACGTCAGAAGAGCGCTTCTGCATTTCCAATTTTTCAATTTTCCACTTTTTTAAACACATTGTTTTTCCATACATTTGTTGCTACCGATGTGCGCTACTGGTGCCAATTTATGAAATTTATTTTTTGCCTACGTTGTGATTATTTATTCAAAAAGTTGGCCTCGGCCAGCGTCTGGTGGTCCTACCCACCCCCTCCCCCGCTCCCTTTGCCCCTCCTGTCCTTGCAGATATCCTGCAGTCAGGACTCTCGCCATCTCTCTTGTTGTAATTGCAATTGTTGTCTGTGGGGGTGGGGTAAATAAATTAATAACACAATTTATGCATGACGCACATTTATAATTACATTTGGAAATAATTTAATTAAAATTGTTAACGCTTGATTGAAGTTAAATCGAATCGGACAAGACGGACAGCGGCAGGTAGTGAGTGCGAGAGAGAGAGAGAGAGAGAGAGAGAGAGAGAGAGAGAGAAAGAGCGAGTCCTTACAAAAGTGACTTAATTAAATTAGCCCATCAATAAGGGACATAATATAATAAAATGCCAACAAACTGACCAATTGCCATATCGGTCAACCGAAATCAGTCCTCCTCGCAGAGGTTCTGGTATTTGAAAAGTGTTTCAGGTACACGGAAAAAGGACATTCATTTGCCAGGTGGAAAAAGGACAGGAATGTTAGTTGGTTACTCAAATAAACCGATCAGCAGTAACGGTAATTAAAAGCCAACCAAATGACCAAATAAGCCACACAAAAAAAAACCAAAAAAAAAATAAAAAAAAAAATTGGTCAACGACAACTGTGTATGCTGATGGAAATCTTAGAAAAATAATACAAAGAAATCGAGTTGCAAAGACTCAAAGCTGAAAATACTCTATAAATGCATGCATTGGATTACAAAAAATAAAAAAAAAATTGCCATAAATTGGCATAAAAATAATACAATGATTTTGAATTGATGTCACATATTTTTAGGGCAACAAAAAATAGATTTCGAATTTCAGAGCGCACTCAACTATGCCGTAATCCCCCCAATTAATTCCAGGGTATTTCTTTGGGTAAACGCTAATAGCTGATTGGGAATTCGAACTGCAAGACCACAAAACAACTCACACATTTACAGGTGCAGATAAGGCAAAAGCACACACTCGCATTTGTGAGCAGTAAACCAACATGGCAAACGCACACACAGATACAAGCTATGTGTAAATAAGTGTTGGTTATGCCCACAAATCAATTAAGTCGATTGGGCCAACATTTTCGGCTGGTAACACACACTCACACACACACACACACACACACTCGCACACACACACTCGCACACACACACACATGCACAAGAAAATTGGTAAAGAGTTGTTAAGCGCCCAAAATGACACATGCGAAAGTGGAGAAGAGGACTCAAAGGAACCGCGAAGCTGAATTCCGCCACTGCAATCGGGCCAAAATGCAGGAGACAGAAAAAAAAAGGAAAAAGGAGGAGTGAGGGAAAAGGTGGAAAAACCCCGAAATTAACCCCAAATGTAGGCAAGAACAAGCTATCTTAAATATTGGCTAATTTATATAAAAACCAACTAGCAGTTGGAAAAGCAAATCAAATCAACAAGACCAACAACAACTATTCAGCTTCCGGTCAGAGTTGTCAACTTTGCTAAACATATCTTCAAATATCTGTAAAATATCACTTGCATAATATTTCAATATTTTCAGCTTCCGGCCAGAGTTGCTAACTTTTTTGTGCAACAAACAATTGGTAAACATATCTTCAAATATCTCTGAAATATCACTTTTTCACAAGCGTATGTTAAAAGTACATTAAAATGGGTTTTTACTAACTGGGTATACTGATAATATTTCAATATTTTCAGCTTCCGGCCAGTGTTGTCAACTTTTTAAAACGCGCAAATTGCTAAACATATTTTCAAATATTTTTGATAAATAGCCCCACTGACTGACTAAATCAATTGGATAGATAAATCAATTTCATGATATTTACAAATTATTTATTGAATTGTTTTGGACTAGTGTTCGAAGTATTGATTGTTAAAAGAAATTGGACTGAAAAATGTTTTCCCTAATTACTTGATAGTTTGAAAACAACCGTAAAATTTGAAAACTCGTCTACTCGACGTTGTAAGTCTAGAAAATATTTAATATTTAATTAAGATATTATACTTAGGTTGAAAATTCTTAGCTAATTCCCTAGAAACTCCTTGAAAACTCGACTACAAGACAATCTTTATGTCCAGAAAACATTTTATATGTTAATAATAAGACTATTTTTTGGGCGGCTTTAAAAGAGCCAGTGTGTCGGCTCGGGCGACGAGTGGAAACGAATCCTCGTCGGCCGAAGGACAATGCCGAGCGTGGCACGTTGCTTTGGCTGCCGGGGCGTATAAATACCGGAGACGCACGGCCGTCGACCATCAGTTATCCAGCCGATTTCCCCTTGGAAACGCGACGTGCAACGTATTACGTCGTGCTCCTTACGTTCGTCCTTTGTCGAAAATCTCGAAGCGGAATAAGAGCTAGCAACGTTTTTTGTTTTGTTTGTTTCGTTTGTTTCGTTTGTTTGTTTGTTTGTTATTGTGCCCCAGCAGACAGAGCACCACGTGTGTGCAATGTTCACCAATTGGCTGACGGGCAGCAGCAGCAGCAGCAGCAACAGTAGCGGCACGCCGGCCACTCGCTCCTCAACGTCCGGCGTAGTTAGTGCCTCTGCTTTGGTGATGAGCTCGCCACCGGATGTGATCCTGGAGGTCGGTCCCGCGCCCACCAGTGTGCGATTCGTGGCCCACTCGTTGGTGCTGGGCATGCATAGTGGTTACCTGCGATCCGCCATCCGATTGGATGAGGCAGCAGCTGCGGCACCACAAGCCACAAACTCCAATCCATCGGCCACCACGGCAACGGGTGAACTATTACTATATCTGAGCAATGTCACCGCCGATCAATTTGCCCCGCTGCTCACGTATATGTATACGGGATATCTGGACCTGACCGTCGACAATATCTTTGCCGTTCTGCTGGCCACCCATGTACTGCATATGCCAAGAGCTTTGGAAATCTGCCGGTGGGTTTTGGGTCACCACATTTCCATATATTTTTTAAGGCAAATGTCTCAAAAGATATATGTACTTTCATAGAATCATATCAATCAATCCAATAATCAATCATTTGATATAGTTGATATTTTTAACATTTAAAACGAAATATTTATGATAGAGATCTTTAAATGTTTCTCTGCATAAAATATATTTCTATTCGAAAATTCACATCAATCGAATGAATAACTTGGTTCTTTCAATTGGTAATTGTAAATATTTTGAACTTTTCTCTTCTTTTTTTCAATTGTAAAAATCAAAATTGAAGTTTTTGATTGTGATTTGATGTTCATTTTCCAGCTCCTTTTTGGCGCGAGCTCAAACGGAGGGCTACTTGAACGGCAATCCCGCCCAGCTTTGTCCAGTGGCCAGCATTCCAGCCAAGGTCATCCGGCCGATACCCAGCAAGGCCACCCTGCCGAATTTCGGTTTCCTGCCCATGCCAACTACTGCTCCTCCTCCCCCACCTCCTCCTCCTCCACCTCCACCTCCGCCTTCTGATCCAGCTCCAGTTCCAACTCCTTCTTCGCATCCAGCTCAAAGTACAGCGCTTAGTTCGTTTGGCGCTGGCACATCGCTTATGGACGAACCCACAACCATTCGCGTTAACGACGAAGAAGAGGATGAGGATGTGGAGGTCTTTATAGACAGCAATACAGTGACGGATAACGAGGCCGATCCCGAACCGGATGTCGACATGGACTGCAATGTTTCGGTGGTTAGTTCCCTGGCCGGAAGCAGTGCCGGCAGCCTAAACATCGAGCGTCTGGATGTGAAGCCATCAACTCCAATACCTGCTGCTATTGCTGTTGCTGTTGGCGTTGCTCCATCCGTAAACATTCCATCCACGGCCAAATCGCAATCTCAGAATCTGCAGCCCAAACTGCACAACTCGAAAAGGGAAGCAATGCCAAAGGGAAGGGGTAACAAAGGCACCGCGACAAGATCGAGAAAATCCAGTGGTCTGCAGGTGGCCAAGGCTCCGGTGCCGGCTGCCCAATTGGAAATGGCCAATGCCCAATCGATGACACCCTCGAAATTCATCATCGATGTGGCCAGTTGCGATGGACCGGTGAGATTTCGCCGAATTCTAAACACAGCCTATGGCCATAAGCCCGAGGACTTGACATCACTAGCCGGCGAGGGAGCAGGCGGTAGAGGAGCAGCTGATGCTGCAGGATCATCGGCGGGTGAGCAACATCGCAGCCAGCAGAGCGTTAGCTATTCGTTTCACCAGCAAATGGCCAGAGCCATAAGCAGTCAGCAGCGACAGCAGAGCCACCAGCAGAGCCACCAGCAGCAGCAGCAGCAACAGGAGGAGTGTGAAAATAGTGGTGATGCCATGAAAACAACAGCTGGCAAACAACGGCTGGCCACAGGAGCCACTTCATCAGCGTCCACCGCATCGGGTGGCGGCGGCAATGCAACAACAACAACAACAACAACGACGACAACAGCAACGGGCAATGGGAATAGAAGACAGCAGGCAGGCACAGGATCATCGACTTCGATCAGTGGCAATCACGAAGTATATGTATGCGTGTATTGCAAGCATACATTTAAATCGCAATATTGTTATCAAAAACATGCCAAGCGCCATTTGAATCCCCTCAGTTTGACCACGACGGACAAGAAATTGCTCGTCGAACCGCTAACTTTGTTGGCCAGCAGCAGTAATGGTCTGGAAACGGATAGCCAACTGATTGGAGGTCAAAGTGCAACGGCAACGTTGATCGGTGGAGGAGGAGGAGGAGGAGGTGGAGCAACGACAATTGCAACAGGAGGAGCAACATCGGCGGCATTGCTGCGGCGTGAAGTGCGACCACTTGACATGAATGTGCAATATTATCCATGCAAAACCTGTGGCAGCAAATTCCCCAGCTACTATTTCGTGCACAAGCATCGCAAAATGTGCCATGCTGATGAAATCGAAGCAACTGCCACCAGCAACACGAGCAATACGAGCAACACTAGCAACACGAGCAACAACAGCAGCAGCAACATCAGCAGTAGCAGCAGCAGCAGCAGCTACGGCAGCAACGGCAACACGAAACGCGAGACAGCAGCAGCAACAACTGTCGAGGATCAGACACCGCAGCAGCAACATCAACAATAATCCTAAGATTTATGGCAACGCACTCAAAGCTAAATCAAAGCAACGAAATCTACGAATTTATATACACCAAAATCACAACACACAAACACACACAAGCTAAATGTGTTTTTTTTTTTTTTTTGTCGCTATAGAAATAAAAAGTATTTAAACTATCAAAGGGTTCAATTTTTGATATATATTTCAGTCCAACAAGTGAAATAAAAAATTGGAAATCTCTAAAAGGTAATACGAAAATAAATTGAAGGTGGAAAAATCGGTTAATGCCAATTTTATATTGATTGTAGTGATAAAATTAAAATTAAATCAATGCAAAACAAAATAATTATGTAAAACCTATTGCTTTATATCCAACAACAAAGTCAACGATTTCACTTTTTTATCGAAATTTTATATCGAAGTCGTTTTTAAATTTTTTCCAATTTTCCAGTTTCTTTAAATTATGAAAAAGTAACGTTAGCAGGTAGGTAAAAATCAAACACAAAATAACGGAAAACATTAGTTTAAAAGAGATCCATCCATTTCCATTTTAATTGAATTTATAAATGCTTTAATTCCATAATTGATCCGATTTTTTTTGTATCGTTAATCGAGAATCAAATCGTCAACTGTCCCACAACTTGATCCACTTTATCAGCTCTTAAAACGCAGATTAAAATGCGACTGAAAACAGAGGGTACTATGCAAAGGTAAACAATCCTTGCCCCGAAGTTTAATAATTAAATGAAATCACTTGCATAATAAAAAGGACGGTTACAAAAAAGACTTTAATTTAATTGAGTTTAATTAACTCGCCAGGGAGATGACAGCCAACAAGGCCGAGTGAAGCGAAGATGATGAGAAGGGGAGGTGTGTGGGTGTGAGTGGGTGTAAGTGGGTGGTGGTGGGTTAGTCTGGTGGGCGGTGGTGCAAACAAAACTGCAAGCGGCCGAAAAACGTTGAGTTGAAAAAAAATTGTTAAGAGAGACTACTCAAGGGGGGGGGGAAGTAAAAAGTTAACCACCAATTGAGCCACAATTTCTTTTTTGTCCACCTCCTCCTCCCTCCTCCTCCTCCTCTGGGTTTTGCCCCTCATCTATGTCAACTCTTTTTTTTTTTTTTTTTTTTTTTGCCCTGGACTCGTCGACGACTTGTCTTGAGGCCATATAGAGCGCGAGCAGCTCAGTCAGTGTTTTATTTGTTTAATTTTTTTTTTTTTTTTTGATGAAATATTAATCGAAAACGCTGGCGGAGAAGCAGCGCAAACAGAAGGCAAAGGACACGAAGATAGAGAACCAGATCTGATTGGATCGAGGGGGTGGGTGGGCTAGGTGGATGGATGGTTTCATTAAGCGGCACAAAAGAGACTGCACCACATTGCAGTTGTCAATGGTGGGAAATGCATTTTTGATAAGCTCCATTAAGTGGTAGAGGAGACCAAAAGGACCGTAACAACATAGCAATGTTAAATTGTAATAAAATAAAGAGAAGACAAAAGTAAAAAGCTTCAACAGGATAACAGAAAGCTTTAAAGCTGGCAGGATATTCTGCGTGAAAGCTTCTCTCGTAAGCTTTAAACTTTGTATCAACGAAAGCTTTCAGAGTAATTTAAAGTAAAAGCTATGGTTTTCAAACACAATAAAAGCTTGACAGAATCCCTTAATAAAATTAAAATTTCTTTAAGGACATGTACGCTTTAAAGCTAAGATTTTTTGTCAACGAATTGCCAGTTCAAAAAATCTTCTGTTTAAACTTACTTTTCTTTCATCAATTTTAAAATTAAATTCATTACCAAAGTAAGAAAAATATATCAAAATGTGGACAAATACTGATTTTAATAAGATAATTTCAAACTTGAACTAGAGTAGCTAGTTTGAGATACATTTAATACCTTTTCTATCAAAATTAAATTTTAAATAACTTATTAGCATTGGTATTAAGCTGGAAAATCCCAACCGATCTAACTATAAATAACATTACGAGTTTCATATAATCCCTTTAATATCTAGGCACAAATTCAATCCTAATCCTGTATCTGGTTAGTTGAATGATTCAATATATAATGGGACACTAATTTATGCAATCCCTTTAAATAGTAATAGTAATAGTAATTTCGGCACTTACCTTTGCCATCGAGGGCGAGAATGTCGGAGGCGTTGACCATTGAGTTGGCGCTTCCGTCCGCCAGTAAAGGCATTGAGGTCGCCGTAGCCGTGGCCGTGGTGGTCGCCGTGCTGGAGGAGATGGCTCCCGATGCGGTGGACATTATGGAGGCGGCACTGATCAGCAACATCGATGACGAGGACGCCGCCGCCGCAATGGATGTGACCACCGAAGTGGAAGACGCCGATGGCAGCGATAATTTGCCAATCGAAGCGTCTTTGGCATTGGCCTTCATGCCATGGTTGTTGCTAATGTTGCTGTTGCTGTTGCTGTTGCCGCTGGTGTTGCTATTGGCATTAGCCGATGTTGCATTACCGGTCGCCTCACCAGAATTCAGTTCGAAACGCTTCCTCTTGGATTCACTGCAAAATCGAGCGAGATGGCAATAGTTAGTTATAGTCTCTACTGAATATACATAAATGTGATCCAAAATAAGCACATGAAACTCGATTATATTAGAGGTTATTAAATATAAAACATATGAAATTATGCATCCTTAAAGACATTATTTCTTTTAAGATCCAAATATTCTTGTGCATTAGTTTAATTCACATTTGTATATTTTTTTGTAGACAGCTCACCTAACATCCGAGTGCAGATCATTGCCGGCTCCCAATCCCTCGACCTGGGCCGCCTTTAGTTTTTGGCCAAGATAGTTGCCAGCCGTGGTGGCCGTATGGGCAAAGGTGGGCACTCCACTACCAGCACCACTTTCACCCGCTGCCGTCGACGATGATGTGGAATTCGAAGGAGCCCTTGTGGGCGGTGTTGTCTTGACGATTTTATCGCCAACCGTCGTGCCCGTGGCATTCGCCGCTGCTCCAGAACCAGGTGCTGCTCCACCGGACGCTGATTCCTCGCCACCCGGAGTCGCCTTCAAATTGGCCATGACCACGGTCTGGTAGCCAGGCTTAAAGCCGTTCAACGTTACGCCCTGTGGCGCTGCAGCGGCAGATGTGGTGTTGCTGCCACCGTTGGCTAAAAGAAAAAAATATTACAATATTATTATAATACAAGTTTAAGGAACAAGTTTGCCACTACTTTTTATCAATAGTTTTAAGTAAATAACTTATCCAAATGCCAATGGTTAATAGCGATTGGAAAACTTTTTATGACAGACTTTCATTGTCAAGCGATTTTCAACTTTAGCTAGTTTAAAAAGTTTAAAAAGTGTTTTAAAAATAACTCTGTTTTAAAGTTTAACAAAAATCATATTCAATTACCTATAAGCCATTGCAAAATTTTTACGAATTATTTTTCATATCATACTTCCATTGGTATATGGTAAAAAAAATCAAATTTGTCATTATCCAACTAATTATGCGCTTATAGTTTTTAATTAATAAAGAGTAAGTATTCAATTTTTAAATTGAGAAGTTGACATTGGATAATTACTACAAATTGTTCTCCACAGAACATTTCCATTAGCTTATAGTATTTAATTATCTAAAATTTGGCATAATCTATTAGTTTCTTAAACTTTTTTTTACATTTTAAGAGAGAATATTGATTTTACAAATGGAACAAGGAGTAAGCATACAATATGCCAATTAATTACTATTTAAAAAAAAATATTTCATTAGAAAATTTGGCATAATCGTATGGAATAGTCGATTCCCTTTAAATAAACCCACCATTATAGCCCTCGGCATTGACAGCTTTGGGACCAGTTTTGGCCAACGGATCGTTGCCTTCCGCCCGGGAGTCCGCTCCCTTGGCCGCCGTACCCGCTGGCTCGGTCGCAGTTTCCGGTTTGCCGGCTCCCTTGGCGGCAGCCGTGGCCGTTGCTCCCGTCGCCGTCGTTGCCTCGCCGGCACTGGCCGCACTGGCTCCACTCGCTGGTGTGCCGGTCGTGGCCACGGTGGCCGCTCCGGCTGTTGCTGCCGCCTCCTCCTCGGCGGTTTTGCTCTTTGCCTCGCCGCCGCCCGCTGAGATCTCTGGTGGTGTTGCAGGTATTGCTGTTGCTGGTGTTGCTGATGATGCTGCTGCTGCTGCTGCTGCTGCTGCTGCTGTTGTGGCACCTCCTGCTGTTGCCGCATTCTTTTCACTGGCATTTGCCGACTTCCCTGCTGCTGCTGCTGCTGCTGCTGCTGCTTCCGTTTTATCCGCTGCTCCTCCTGCTGCTGCTGCTGCTGCTGCGGGACTTGCTGTTGTTGTTCCTGCTGTTGTTGCTGCTGCTGCTGCTGTTGCTGCTGCTGCTGCTGTTGTTGTTGTTGTTGCTGCTGCTGCTGCCGCCGCAGCTGCTGCAGCCGCTTTGGCCACCTTTTCACCGGCGGCCGTCGCCTCGACAGCTTTGGTTGCAGCACTAGCCTTCTCGGCGGCACTTTCGGCCGCCTTGGCCGCATCCGCTGCCGCTTTCTCTGCCACCCGTTCCCGTTCGGCAGCCCGTTCCGCTCGTTCCCGTTCGGCAACGGCCGATGAACGGCCACCGGACTTTTGCTGTTGCTCACGCTGCAGTCGCGTCATTACGCCCGTGGTCATTGAATCAATGATGCACTGCGGCTGGGCGGCCTGAGCCTTTGCCGGATTGCGTGAACTGCGCGTCCGTTGGCGGGATTTACGCAACAGTTGCTTGTAATTCTCGGTCTTCTTGCTGAGGTAGTAGTAGCGTACGCAATCCTGAGGCGATTTACGATCCAAACTGGCCGCAATGGCACCAAAATTTTTCGGATGCTGTAAATACTTCTCCTTGAACGTCTCCTTCTCACCGGCTGTCCACATATTGAGTGCCTTACGCTGCTGATGCACCGCCACCATATCCTCGATGCGTCCGTTTTCATTGTGATAGGCGCATCGCCTCTGGCGGGCATCGTGCATTAGGGGCGGTATAACCGCATACGATCGCATCTTCTTGTCCTCCAGTGCCTGCTCTTGCAGCCCATCCATGATCTCTTCGAGATCCGCTTCGGATTTAATACGCGAACCGACGCGATTGAAACGCTCCTTATCCTCGCGCTGTTTTCGCAATTCCGTGAACACCTTCTCGAAGAACTCACGATTCTTGGCCTCGCGTGCCTTTCGCTTCGCACTGGCCTCCAACCGTTCGCAACGGCGCTGCCAATCCGCCTGCTCCTTGGTGTACTTCTCCACCAGACCCTGATTGTGCAGCCATCGTTCGGCCTTCAGCTTCCGGATGTGCAGGAGCAGGGGTGCCCGCACTTGACTCTGATGCTGACGTATCAGCAGGGTAAGGGCCTCCACGTCGAGGGGCTGATTGTAGAGCGGTAGCCAGGGTCTGCCCGCAACGGAACCCGCTGAGGATTCATCGGTTGCTGCTGCTGCTGCTGCTGCTGCATTCTGCAGCATGGAATGTTGCGCATGGGCCGTCTTCCGATTGGCCGCGTAGATTTTCATTGCCAGCATTTGACTGCGCCAGGCCAGCTCCACAGCCGCCTCGTCCTCATGCTCATCGTTGTGATCGTTGTTGTTATCGTTGCGCTCCTTGATGGCCTTCGCCTCTTTGGCCAGAGCGGCCTCCTCCATCAGTGATTTCTCCTTCTTGCGCAGCGTTTCCATTGTCGTCTCGGCGGACTTGATCTCGTTGTCAACCTTTTGGATCTGCATGAGCAGATCCTCCTTGGCGCTGGTCCGTCCACGTTCCTCGATTGAACTGTCGCTGGGCAACGTAGGTGAGATGGCCTCCACCTGGTGGTCAATGCAAATATCGTTTAGTTTTGACTTTGGTATAGACATGGAAAGAGCTCTGCTTGGGATCAAGTGTTGACAAGATTTTCACATTTCGATAAACTCGATTGTGTTTTATGTACAAAATAAAAAAAAAAAAAAATAGGGCAGTACAAACCCAAAAAAAAAATCCTGTTTGTTTTATATGTTATGTTGTATGTTAAAAAGTTTACAAAAAATTGTATTTAAACGCTTTTTGAAAGTAAATAAAGAGCTCTGCTTGGGATCAAGTGTTGACTGAATTTTCACATTTCGATAAACTCGATTGTGTTTTATGTACAAAAAAAAAAAAAATAGGGCAGTACAAACCCAAAAAAAAAATCCTATATATTGTATATGTTATATTGTATGTTAAAAAGTTTACAAAAAAATGTATTTGAAAGCTTTTTGAAAGTAAATTGAGTGATCAATAAAATGATTAACTAATGGAGCTCTGACTTAAGTTAATGAAGTATGTATTTATATATTTTTAGGGTTTTAGGGTCTACTTTGAAACTCGTATTAAACTCTTAAAATTTGTTTAAGTTTATAAAAACTTTAAACAAAGTTATAGGGATATTCTAGTAACAGGATTTTTCAAACTATTTTATTTAAAATAAAACCAACAAACATTTCTCTGCCAATTTTGTGTTATTAAATCCGAAAATATACTAATAAATTCAAGCAGCGCTCTTCCGGGGTCTCTCATTTCAAGGCATTCGACTCACCTGAGGGTGATAGGCTTCTGTGCTGGCGGATCCCGTACTTCCGGAGCCCGTTCCGGCGACAACATGACTGCTGCCGCCGTGACTGCCAGACGATCCGGCCATGGAAACGGTGACAGTGCCCACTGGCATACCCACTCCAGAGGACATGCTGCTCACTGGTGGCTGCGATCGGTTCTGGGATTGTGAGGCATGCTGTTGCTGTTGCTGTTGCTGCAGCTGTTGATGTTGCTGCTGCTGTTGTTGCTGCTGCTGCTGCTGCTGGGGCAGCGTTTCCACCTTGAGTTGCATGCCCATTGGCGTGGTGACCACTTGTTGTCTGCACATATCATTGTGACTCTGCCGACTGCTGTTCATCTGTTGTTGCTGCTGTTGCACTTGCGCTGGTGAGGATCGCTGGTGTTGCTGGTGTGCCTGGTGTTGCTGCTGCTGTTGCTGTTGCTGCTGTTGCTGCGGGTGAGGTGGCAGGTGATTCATGTTGCTGGCATTGGCCTCGCTCAGACGTTGCTTTTTGTACGGCTGCTGGCCGCCAAATGGCTCGGGCGGATGTTGCTGCTGCTGCTGCTGCTGCTGGAGCTGCAATTGCTGTCGCTGGTTGACCGCCGCCGCAGCAACGGCCACCGCAGTGGCATTGGTCAGGTACTCGCTGGTGTATTGGAGAGCCTGTGAGTGGGGCACCAGGATGCGCCCCAGATTGCCAACCATTATGCTGGTACTGCCGCCGCCGCCGCCGCCACCAGCAACAGATGTTGCTCCTGCGCCACTGGGACCGCCGCCTTGCTGTTGTTGCTGCTGCTGCTGCTGTTGCTGCTGCTGCTGTTGCTGCTGGGAGGGATTACTATTTGGTTGGCTGGCATAATGGGGCATGGCCTCCATGACCAGAACTCCGCCGGATTGCGACACCTGGACGACACCGCCACCGGGTGGAGCTGATCCACCGGCACTTCCTCCTCCTCCGCCGCTGCTGTTGCTGCCGCTGTTGGAACTCTGGCCAGAAGCGCTGCCTTTACCCGCCGAAACCGCTGCCACGGCAGCCCGAGCCGCTGCCCTTTGATACTCGGGCATCGATACTGCTGCCTGCTGCTGTTGTTGCTGCTGTTGCTGCTGTTGCTGCTGCTGCTGAATTTGGGTGTGACGCGAGTAGTGACTCTCACGGTAGGTGGGCGCCGGACCAATGCTGTAGCCCGTGTTCTGGATAAAACGATGCTGCGGGGGCGGTGGCGGGTAACCGGTATTGACGGCCACCGCCGCCGCTGCCGCTGCTGCTGCTGCTGCTGCTGCTGAATTACTGCTGTTGCTGCCGCTGCTGCTGTTGCCGCTACCAGGATTTCCAGGACGAGGTGGTGACAAAGGACTGGCCGCCGATCTCGAGGATTGCTGCTGCTGCTGCTGCTGATGTTGCATCTGCTGCTGCTGCTGCTGCTGCTGCTGTTGGTGGTGGTGGTGGATCTGCGGATGCAGAGTGGTGCGCTGGTCCTGCTGCTGCTGCTGCTGTTGCTGGTGGTGCGATTGATGCTGCTGCTGCTGCTGTTGCTGCTGCTGTTGCTGCTGCTGCTGTAGCTGCGCCACCTGCTTGGCATACTGTGGCAGCTCGAGGGCCCTGTACGACCAGTGGGGGCGAAAGGAGAGGAACACAAGCAGATTATTAAATTATTGGCTAAATTGACGTGGTAAACTTGTTTCGAGTTGGCTGGCAAAAGGCCTGTCTACACAGTCAGATTTTTCAATTGAGTATTTCGTTTTTATTAGTATTTAATAGCTTAAAGATTGTGATAAAAAAGGCTCATTCGTTAAATCAATTTATGCATTTACTTTATACAAAACTGAAATCTACCTGTAACAAAATCCTTAAAGTTCATTTGAGAAATCAGATTGTGTAAGGTAGCCTTAGCAAAGAAGTATTTTTATTTTAAAATGTTGCATTACAGGTTAAAATTAAGATGATTTCTGATGACAACAACTCATTTGCTACCTGAAGCAAGTAAAGTAAAGCCAAAAAATATAATAGTCAAATATTTTAATTTAATGTTTAATGTCAGACGAAATCTTTCTTCAACTTCTTTGAAGAACCTTGAAAAAAAATGTATATTTTTCTGAATTTCTCCCATCTCTTCTTTTTTTTATATTATCATTAATTTTTACTTGTAAAGGGTATAGTGCTATTGATTTAAATTATTCATTTTAGTTTTGTTGATGTGGTAAATTCAAACTATTCATTGGAAGTAATATCTTAAAGAATTTCGTTCAAATAACAAAGATTTTAATTTTGATCACATCTTAAAGTCCTGTGATTTGTTATTAGCCATTTAATAAAGTGTCATTTCAATCAAAATTATAGTCTCCCTTGTTATCTGTTGAAACCTGTTTTTAAATTATAGAATAAGAATCAGGGAAACTAGTTCAATCTATGTACATATCTGATAACAGAGCTCAGAGTTCTTTAACCGTAGGTTTGCAAAAAAAAAAAGAACACCTTGACCCGTTACAATAATAAAGATATTAAAATCTAGTTCTATTCAGATGTCAGATATTCTAGCGTATTCGCTGCTAATCGTGTAACGTTCATTCTAGGATTTAGACTAGTCACCATTTCAATCCCTCCTCCCCTTAATATAAACTGCGATCTGTAATTCTATTTAGACAGAGAAACGAGAAAAATACTGAAATAAATGGAACCAACAGAGGCTTGACCCCGTTTTCGCGCCAATCTAAGATAATCGGATGATCACATCATATAATTTAGCATATCTGCATAATATGGCTCCACGCTGATGCTATATGCTATATCAAAATAAATATACTATATATATATATATATATATATATATATATATATATATATATATATATATGTATACATATTTATAAGTGGGATATAAGCGGGGCCCGATCTAACGGTTGATTTAGTGGGCTCTATTATTATTATTTTTGTTATTGGGGACACGAACCCCGGCCGGTTTCGAACTTGTGCGAGCGAGAGAGAGAGAGGGAGAGAGGTGTTTGGACGAACTAACCGAGTTGCCATCTCTGTCGTTTTCGTGCCGCGCCATGCGGTACCGAATCGAACTTGTCCGAAGCTTATGTGTGCTTCAAACAAGTTCAGTCGAACTCGCCGCCGAACATGTTGAAGGCAAGCCGCAACTGCGTCGGCAGAGGCAACACGACGCCGGCAGAGGCAGCGATCCAACATTTTTTGCTGCCTTCTTTTATCCTATCACAGTGACAACTCAAAAATTGGGCATACCGTTAAATATTTGACCAGCTTGACTCATTTAAAAAAAATTAAAGTTCAAAGTTAAGCCTAGGCTTTAGATTTGTCAGAAAATAACTTTTATAGATTGATTTAAAATAAATGAAAATTTAATGAATATTTTATGCAACGATTTGTTATTTACAGTGTGATTATTATAATAAAAATAGTCCAGCTGTGTTAAAGCTTCCATTGAGCGTGTTAGTTTCAGTAATTTGTGGTTTAATTACTAAGCAATTAATTCAACGGCACAGCAAATGTCGTATTAATATTTATAAACATTGCTTAAGGTCTGCAGTAATGTCAGTAGACAACAACATTGTTTCTTTTATTAATATTAATTAGCCCAATTTTGAAGTACTTTGAATTTTTGTGTTTTATTCGAATTAAATTTGCTCTGATGCTCAAATTGTTCCTTGTTGAACATATGGCTAATTGTTTTAATAAAACGAAATAGTAGAATTTGTATATATATTGACACAATTATTAAAAGTGTCGCTACTTTGAATAAAAATTATTTTTTTTAAACATAGGTCGAATATGAAATAATTAACAATTGAAATTTATGCTCCAACTGTAAAAAAAATCGAGTTTATTGTTATTTTTAACATTAAAACAACTATAACATTTTAGATTATTCTGTATATGCCTCATTTCTAAACTATTTTCCAACTATTTTAGAGTAATCTTTATTTGTTCTCAATCTACATATTTTAAAATTTTGTGTTTTTATTCTAATTTAAACGGTTTCTTTTTTATGATCTTTTAATTATTTATAACATTTTCTTTGCATTTGGTTTGTTGTGAACTGTGAATTGGTTTACTTGGCATAATAATAATACTAGCGTTTGATGGGATTTGTGATTTTGTGATTAACGTGCGACGCGTTTGACCCGACACCTCTGCGCTGCCTCTGTCGACGTCGACGCCAACGCAGCGGCGCGACCTCATGCATCAACGTCACACACACACGCACACACTAATAACCACAGACCCGTTTATTAATTCATTAAATTATTATAGAAGATTCAGTGTGAGTGCGAAGGAGATGGCCTGCGGTCGCGCAACATTGCCAAACTTCACAGCAAACCATTCTTTTATTTAGAAAACATCAAATTCAAGGCTTTTCCAGCTCGCATTTAAAATAAAAGATTAAAAGCTCAGACAATGATGTAGCGAAATCATCAAACATGAATGAGAATGACGACGACCCATCCTAAAACGAAGAAAAATAATTTTGCTTTATGTATCCTAAACTTGATACCCTTCTATACTATATACTATTCTTCAAACACATTATTTAACCTATTTTATATTTATTATTATTAAACGGAATTTATGTTTAAAGTGTTTTTATTTTGTGGCTATGATATTTGAATTTTTTAACTTGATTTCATAAAATATTTTCGCGTTGCTATTTATTTCTGCCGCCTTTATTTTGTTTCTTACAAGTTTTTCCTTTTGTGGTTCTTCCTTAAAAATATCTTTATTAGCTTGCAATGAAGCTTTAGCCTTACTAATATATTTATTTGTTTTAATAAAGCTTTATCTGCGGATGTAAACTTTGACCTTCTGAGATTCCTTGAAGCTTTTCGCGTTATTTTACTTCTACCTACTCGCTAAAATTATCTTTTGTATATTCCTTTTGACCTTGCCTTATTTATTTCACTAATGTTCTTTGATTCCTTTCTCTATCCTGATATGTTAAATATAAAGGTATATTTTTTTCATATACATATGTATCACTTCGCATATGGTAGTTTTATTTCTATATGCGTACCCTATATTTAAAATCTTCTAGGTAATACATAAATAAAACCTTTTACTGCATATGTATGTACTTTTGAACTTAAAGCTCAGCTTCATTATTTTCAAATTCCCTCTAGTTTACTTTACATTACTTTATATTGACTTTTGCCTTCTTGTATTCCTTTCTTCATGTGCAAAACAATTCAAAATTGTTGTCTTATTTACATAGCCTTTGTTTTCACTGGTTTTACATGTTTGTTGAGATGTTTTACCTGAAAAGAAAATGAGAAAACCAGAAATTAGCTTTAGAGAAAAATGGTTTACAATTTAAATCGATTTAAACGAAATTTGCGTTAAGCAAGACAAGGTAAGATTTAAGTGAAGTAATGTAACACCAGTAATCTTTTTCGATTAGTCCCCCTTGCTGGGCGCCATTAATCTGTTATTTTCTCTTTGCTGGTTACCACTTCCACATCAAGAATTAAACTTTAATATGAAAGTAGAGGAAAATAAAGAAGAAAACAGGTAGGTAGAGACTAAGACAACAAAAGGAATAACTAAATTTATGCCAAAGAAAAAGCTTTTGCTAGTAAGCTTTATTTCTCCGTTTCATCTTTTTCATTACGGTTCATTCTTGTTCCCTTTAACATTTCCCTTGATTTCCTCTCCTTTTTCTGCTTTAAAGTTCCACCAAACGAAAAAGAAAATAATTAAAACCCGCACACAGCTTTGTTTTTGTTTGAAAAAGTTTGAAAACAAGCTGCAGCCAGAAAGAGATGGGGAGCAACGAAGGACAGAGTTGGGGATACAGTGCCAAAGAGGGAGAAATCACACATTTACCGTTATGTGCGCAGTAAGTCATACTCACACACATGTGCATACATACATTTTATATACAACATATCCTCTCCATATGTTTTGTGTGCAGCATCCACACAACCATTTGGCCACCCACTTCCTCTCCTTTATCGTCTTCTTCTTCCAGCCACGCCTTGTGTCTGTGTCTATACATATGTAATGCATATATACTACACAATTTATACATATACACATATACCGTAAATACTGTGGGGCACACAGCAAAATAAAAGAATACTATAGTTAAACTAGCAGAAAAGGTGGAGCAGAAAAGATGGAGCATAGAAGAGGCGAAAACCACTAAGACTAAAAAAAAGCGCAGAATAAAACAATAAATAAAAAATTAAGGAAAACCAGAAAGCGCAAAATTATTTTATTCAAAAAAATAAAAGGAGAACAAAACAAGAAGAAGCATCCGCTGGAGCAAAAATACCATACACTCTGGAAAACTGTGGATATTCTAGAATGTAATTAATTTCAGAGCTCTAAAACTTGTATCTATAAACGCTTACTTTATTTTATAAAATCTGTATTATATGTACATATGTTTCCCCATCATTTCTAACCATTTATTTAAAGTATAAAAAAATTTTAAACTTGAGTATAAAGATTTCTTTCACCAGTATTTCTCAAAGTGCACATACAGCAAATAGCTGTCTGCTATCGCCTCCCCCTTTCCCAAACTTTTCCGCCCAATTTCCCATCTCCTCTTTGAACTGCAGTATGCAGCAAGGGCCAACAAAAAAACAACAAACTTTTTGC